ATTTTTCAGCTAGATTTGGTCTCAATTTAACACTGTGTTGTGTTTGGATACGGGTACTTAGGTTGCTCGCCACCCAGATGCTGTTACAGTAGTTACTGGGATAGTAGGATGTGCTGGACTAAAGGTAAAGACATTAGGTCTCTGCTAATTTCTTTTATAATACTATTGCTTTGTGGCATTTTACAAACTACCTTCCTTTGTATTAGCTTCTGCTTTTGGTCTTTACTTTTGCTCGTGAAAGGCAACTTAGCATAATATATTGAAAATGAATGCAAGACTGATCTCCTGGCGTTTAGGTAGCACTTCTCAGCAGCTAGTCCTTTTATAATAGCCCAGATGTTACTGGAAAGATCAACAGTTAATCCGGTATACTGTATGTCTTTGAAATTATTAGTCTCGTAAAGGTCACAGAAAACCATTGCATGGGTTGAAAGGCTTAAAAATCTAAGATTGGCTGCTGCTAGTTGTATATGGATGATGATTATGCGAAGAGAACAATGGAGAAAACCAGTGCCTTGCCTTCTTTGACACTGCTTCCATTTGACCTTGAAAGAGGTGGCAAGGCGATGGGCCTTCAGATTAGAGGTGACAAGAACTGAAATGAACATGCTTCTAACATTTATTAACAATGAAATGCTCTTATTGAGTGCTCATGTACAGAATGAGCTACCAAAACCGTTCAACATATTAAACATGGTCAACATCATTTGTAATGCATTCAATTCAATAGGTTCAAGAATGTCCATATGTCAATTCTCAGGTTATTTGTAATGCCTGAAAACTAATCTTGAGTTTCAAAGGTGTTTTATATTTTCATCAAGAAACATAGAAGATGTTTATTCCTTTCAAGAATACCAATTGAAAAAAAAAATGCTTGAAAATTTGAAGAAATTCGAGTGATGGCATTATTATATTTTTGCATCATAATAAATGGGTTGGGCTTCTGAAGGATGCTAGCTTAACTGTGTCTTCTAAGGGGTACCTACGGTCCTAACAGAGACATGGACATGTGCAGATACAAAACATAGGCGCACGTGCATATATTTGTGCCTGTGTAGATATTTTTGTTCTCTGTATACGCAGTTTATCTACTAATCAGCTTTCTCTCTACTTTATCTAGTGGTTCTGCTATATTCTATATCAATGTTAACGTATGTGTTCTGCGCATGGATTGACTAATCCATTTTGTTTGTATACTCAGCCCACTGTTGCTGCCATTGAGGCTGGAAAAGACATAGCCCTCGCCAACAAAGAAACTCTGATCGCTGGAGGTCCTTTTGTGTTACCTCTTGCTCACAAGCACAAAGTGAAGATTCTTCCTGCTGATTCAGAACATTCTGCTGTGTTCCAGGTACTTGCCAGAGAACATCCAGTTCCAGCTGGTGACTGTGTCCTTTTTTTGGTTCCATATAGGCTAGATGAATTTCCCTGGTTCTATCTGTGTTTATAGTGGCACTTGTATGAAGTTGGTTATTGAATGGTGATGCTTACGGCACATTTTTGTCTGTAGTGTATTCAAGGATTGACGGATGGTGCACTTCGACGCGTAATTTTGACTGCATCTGGAGGGGCTTTCAGGTATAAGAACCACTAATACTAGATACCTTTTGTGGCTTCACTTTGATGTCAAGAGCACTAAGAATGACACTGGTTGGCTGTAACTCTCATCTGAATGGCCATTGTTCTGGACATGTGATAGAGTTCATGGATGTTGCCATATGAGGACAGGCTGTGCTGTCAGTACTTCGTTATGTATTACACCAATTATACTGCTATAAAACAGTAGCAACCCTTTTAAACGTCTTTTTTTTTCCCTTCCTTTTATTTTGGGTGGTGGGGTGGTGATGGGGATTGGGCTTGCATCCTTGGTTTAACATGTAAAACTATAAGCAAACATCTCTTTTTGGTGTTCATCATAGGGATTGGCCAGTCGAAAAATTGAAAGATGTGAAGGTTGCAGATGCTTTAAAACATCCAAACTGGAACATGGGGAAAAAGATTACTGTGGATTCTGCTACTCTCTTCAACAAGGTATTAAAAGCATTTTTATTAATCTTCATGGGCAGGACATTATTATTTTTATCTCTTAGTCTTCCGTAGCCTACTAGCAATTCCTTTGTTACACAGGGACTAGAAGTTATTGAAGCACATTATTTGTTTGGGGCTGAATATGACAATATAGACATTGTAATTCATCCGCAGTCTATAATACACTCGATGGTTGAGACACAGGTAATTTGTTATAACTTCGCCCTCTCTGTTGTTGTTGTGACCTATGCACAGAATAACTGCCCAAGTTTAGCATTTTCTTTTGTCTTCATTTTTAGATATTCTGACACCCAGTTTGGTCAACAGATATTCTTGAATTGGTTTCTATTTATCTTGCAGGATTCATCTGTACTGGCTCAGTTAGGTTGGCCTGATATGCGCCTACCAATTCTCTACACGTTGTCGTGGCCAGACAGAATTTCTTGCTCAGAGATCACATGGCCTCGACTTGATCTTTGCAAGTTTGTGACTCAACTCTTTGACTCATTATGATTTTATGACCAGCATGGTTTTTATTTTGGATCTTATATTAACATTGCATCTTGGCATTCAAAATAGGACTTTATTAAAAATTACAACTTGTTTCAAGTATATTTTACGATAATACTATACAAATTCAATGACTATGGTTAAGAATGTTCTTTATGCATCATAACAGACTACGAATGTCCTGTTCGCACTCTCCCGTTATCTTGAAACAAGAGACTGATATCAAAGACAACCTGGCTTGTTAAGTCATCCTTATATCAAAGATGATGATGGTTATGTTGTTTAGGCGTACCAGTGAAGAAAAATGTCCAGTTGGCACCGTTTTGGAGGCGATTTACAATTTTCTGGTACCTATGAATTGATGGTTTCTCACTTTAGAGCAGTCTTCCAAACACGTTTTTTTTTTCAAAGTTCTCTGGAATTAGCAAGTAAAAAATTTGCCTTAAGGAATATGAGGAAGACCTATATAATAATCAGATGTGTCACAAAAAAAAAAAAAGAAATGTTGGTCGTCCTATGTTGAATTATAGGTTCATTCATTCATTCGAACTTTGAGTTTAGATTTATATTTCTATGTGAATTCAGATCCGTTCTGGTGTATTCTGATTACCATGCGTGGTAAACTCATTATGAAATTTATGGTGCAGGCTAGGTTCATTAACCTTCAAAACTCCTGATAACGTAAAATACCCATCCATGGATCTTGCCTATGCAGCAGGGCGAGCTGGAGGCACCATGACAGGTGTCCTTAGTGCTGCTAATGAAAAGGCTGTGGAGATGTTCATCGATGAGAAGTAAGTCCTTTTTCTTCCTCCACTCCTGTCACTCTTTAGTACCGTTCAGTTCATCATCAAAAAAATTCATCCATGCATGCCTATAAAATGTTGGTTTTTATTCTGTTCCTCCGTTGTTTGCTTAAGTGATGATGACCAATGTAATATCTCAAATACTCGTGAAGAAAGTCTTAAACTTGATAAATAAATAAATAAATATATGTATATATGGTTTCAGTTGGATGCATTTGATGATAATTGTTTCTATTTTGCAGAATTAGCTATCTAGATATCTTCAAAGTAGTCGAACTTACATGCGATGCTCATAGAAATGATCTAATTGCCAACCCTTCACTCGAGGAGATCATACACTATGATTTGTGGGCTCGGAAATTTGCTGCCAATTTACAGCCAGCATCTGGCCTGAGTCCTGTTCCTGTGTGAGCCTCATGGTTCTTCGAATCGATTGTTGTCCGGGGTTGCAACCTTTGGGTACCGGGTAGTAGGTCCTATCAATTACATTTGTGGGTGTATATTTAATGGTCTTATTCCAATGTACTGAAGCACCCATCACGTTGTGACGATAATGATCAGAAATATGCAATTATTTTTGTCGATCTATGTGGAATAAAGGAGTTTGGGTGGAAACTAGTGACAAACCAATGAACTTGGGTTGGCAAGTGCATGTTTATTTGGTTTTCCTGCTCTCTTAGTAATGTCTGGAAATATATCTAGTTACAGCGAAGATAATCTCCAGAATTGACATAGAGGAAGATGATACGGGACAAGGGCTGAACAAGATTTGCAGTATCAATGCAAAAGTCACTGTCCTGAGAGGCCACCGGTTGGTTGTTGAATTTGGCCATTCATTTTGCTTGACTTTTTGCAATGGCTTTGGATCACGTCAGGTTTTTATGGTTGGGTAGCCGAGTCATGAATGAGATGACAATGACATCATCTATCATCTATGCTTTCTCGCACATTTGTATTTTGCTGTCTACCTGCAGTGTGTCAAAAGTAAAGCACTAGCTCGGCACGTGGATGGAGACTAGAAAGAAGCTATCTGTAATGGTGCTTTGAGGAGTTTGATTCATCGGATCGGAAGGTTCCTCTTGAAAGGTGTTCAAGTTGGACAGATTCATAATTAGCTGACAGCTTTGTTGTTCTCATCCATAGGGGCAATGTTGAATCCCCTCCAAGGCAGCAGATCTCAGATTGATTTATACTCATGAAACATGTTATGCTTCGATTTACGAGTGCAGTGTTTCTCAAATGATATCATTTATATTTCTTCTTCTGTTTGAAATATTTCTTTTAACATGCAAATTATTTTTCTCAATATTTCATGTATGATTTTTTTTTTTAATCTTTAATGCTCCCAAGCAAGCATGTTGGTGGATCCAAATTGCCATTACGTGCTCCAGCAGGAACCAATTCTAGCACATCGATCATGAAGGAACATATCAGTACAAGGTAGAAGTTGCACCATTCGGCTGGTATTTTTGCCCGGGCAACCCATGTATGTGCATGTCAGTGTTATCATGTAGACGTCAACGAAGACCTCATCCTTTCCCCTTGGGATCATTACGTGGTGGCTCATAGTCTCTTTAAGCTTTAAGATGAAGTACTAAGAGGACGGACGGTCCTACTAAACAAAGCTGATGATGCATCACCGCAAAAGGGTAAAAATACCAAACCGAACATGTACAAGCTCACTTCTATAATAACAAAAATTAATTTGTCTAATTGTATTACAAAATCAAAAAACAAAGGATAACTGATGATAAAAAAGAGGTTTTGATTTCTACAAGGGGTGATGCGACCGGCGGAGCCCGTTCGCCGGTGCGAACAACCCCAAGAGCTCTTGCCGGTACGGTAAGAATGACCGCCGTGGTCCCCTCGCCGCCTTCTCGCTTGCTCCCTTGCCATAGTACAGCCGGTGGGCGGTGGCCACATCCGTCGCCGCCACCCGCCCGTCATTCTTCGCCCCCTTCCCTCCCCCCGCTGACCTCGCCGCTTTAAGACTCGGGCTCGGGATCTTTTTTGTCGCCGGCGACGGTGGCGCCGCCTCGAGGAAGACGAACTTCTCCTTCCCGTCGCTGTGGCTTCGGCCAACCATCATGTCCCTGAGCCGCCACCGCAGTGACGACCCGGTGGACGCGCTCTTCTTGCACGGGTCGGGCTTCGGCGCGCGGCACTCCTCCGTCGTCGGCGGCTCCACCGACGAGAATAACTCTGTCCCCCTCTCCTCCATCAGGAGCTGCCTAAGCGGGATCTGGACGGCCATTCCCTCCACGGCCGCCGGCTCGTCCGCAGCGGACAGGGGAAGGAGGAGGTCGCGGTTGAAGAGCGGGTAGGCGGGAATGATCCTGCCGCCGGAAAAGATCTCGTCTGCGGCGACGGAGGTTTCGGTATCGGGGTTTCTCACTACGAACGTAAACTCGAATTCCTCGCTGGAGTCGTCGTCGTCGTCTTCGTCTTCTTCATGCTTGTCCGAAGCCTCTGGCGGTCCGATCTGGTGTGCGGAAGCATCGTGAAGGATGGCAGAGCCAGAGCCATCGTGCGCCAGCTCCTCCTCCTCCGCGGAGGTGGAGGCCCCGAGGGATGGCTTCTCGGGGAGTGCCGTCGTCATCTCTCTTCTTCCGCTGCGTCGTAGAAGACGGGAGAAGGTCCCGCGTTTATAAGGAGCCAAGTGTTGGATGTCTCCGTTAGTGATCGTTGACCGTCCAAAGTGATGGGCTCCGCCTACGGGTGGTGTGATAGACGACGTAGCTCGAATCTGGACGGTTCATTTAAGCTGATGGAAGGTTTAAATACATGGAACTGGGGGGAGGATTCTTGTTGGGCAAGCCACCGGTGAGGAATTCCAACGGAAGGCGACCGACCGACGATAACTGCCGCTCGGCTCGTTGCTTTACTTGGAGGGGAAGCAGTGCGTGCTTACCTTCCCGCACGTGCGACGGCTTCCACAAGGTCAAACCTATATATATATTTATCATATTGGGTAGAATTAGGATGGATCGTCGATCTGATTCAATCAGTTTATGACGAGAAGATCTCATCAACTACCGTCCATCTGTTGGCACAGGAGAATCTCATTGGCCTACAAATTTCACCAAAGATCCGTGCACGAGACTCTCTCGATGACGCAGCTGCCTTGAAAACCTGATCCGTGAGGTTACACCTGAGCTCATGCCAGCATCATTGCACGAAGGAGCGTCACCGAGGAAGATTGCACCATAAACATATGTAAAACGACAGACTATTGAGTCGCCCAGGAAGAATGCACTATAAATACATATACCACCACAGAGTCCATCTCATCCTAAAGCATATTTTCCAGCGTGAAGCTCATCCCAGTGATGCGAGACCAAGTTTGGGTAAGTTGATATAATATATATATGCCTTGGTCGAGTGTTGACTGCTAGGAGTTAACTGGACGCAGCTTCAAGTAAGTGAAATTTGTCGACCGGACGTCCTACTCGCTTCTATGGTTGGTTAAACGACAGTGACGACGAGTTGAATTCTTTTGATACTTTATTAAATGTTTAGAAGAAGCTGATTTTATTACCCTTCAATCGAGTTTAGGATTAACTCGGATCACCGTTCCGAGGTTGGCCCAAATCGCGCTCATTCTTCCGTGATCTCAATTCGGCATTTGGCCCAAATTGCAAGGGAACGCACGACATAGTTGGTTTTATGTTTGAGCCCATCGCTGACCGTGGACGGCCCATATTGATCGGGCCATCGTTGATGCCCAATTTGTCGTCGCAAGATAAACCCTCGCGAGATCTAAGAAAACGAAGAAAACCCTACGCCTCCTCTCCATCGTCCGTCTCTCTTCGAAGAGTAGCTGAAGATGGGAAAAGAGGAAGAGAAAATCGCGATTTCGAAGACGAAGAAGAAGCCGCATCGAACCGCCCAAGACCTCGAATCCATCAAATCCGACGTCGTCTCTTTCGCCTCCTCCCTCGGCCTCGTCCCTCCGACGCTTTCCTCCTCGTACGGCTTCGACGACTCCGATTTCCGCAAATCCGGACCCCTCAAACCCCTCGATGCCCATGAGTCGAAACTGCCGTCGTCGGTCTCCGCCGCCGGCGATAAAGGCGGAGCCAAGAAGGAACCCGGTTCCAAGGCCCTCCCCAAGCCCCACCCGTTGCAGATCGATCCCTTTGTCAAGACCTCGCATGAGAAGAAAGGCCGCCCGGAAGTTCCCTTGATGAAGGCGAGCTCCCTCTCGGGGCATTGGTACCTCGATGCCGAGGAGCTGGAAGCCAAGGTCTTGGGTCCCGACGGGAGCAAAAAGGTGACGAATTTGGGGATCGGGGAGTTCAAGAAGCTAGTCGAGAAGAAGAAAGAGGTGGCCGAGAGGCTGCTGGCGCAGTACACCGAGGATTATGGGTCCTCTAGGAGGAAGAGCGGGGATATGAGGTTGCTGGAGGTGACGGCCAGGTCAGGGACATCGTCAGACAAGGTGTCTGCCTTCACGTGCTTGGTGGAGGATAACCCTATCGCCAATATAAGGTCGCTGGACGCCCTGTTGTGTGAGTTGTTTTCTCGATGAATGAATCTCTACTATTAGTTTCACAATAGCGACACACTGCTCAAAGTTCAAACCAATATATGTGGGCAAAAAGGTCTATTAGGCTAACATTCACCGCAGTTTCTCTAATAGGGTCTGTGATGACTTTTTATGGCTTCACAACTTTGCTGAAGGTGATGAGTTGTTCTAGGCTATCCATATTGGCCATCTGCCCAACTGTTATATCTCAGTATGAACCGAAACAACGTTGACTAGGATCAAATTGATATATCTGCTTGTGTTTATTTCAGGACTTTCAGGAACAAACTAGTGTGATGTGGTTATCTTTGCAATTTGTATTTTGACTAATCACATGGCCGAGGAATTCAAATGTTTTGGAAGGTTATCCTGCTCAGTGTTAGTTTAGACTTGGAGTAACTTGTGTGAGTCGTAGGCAGTTTTGTTTCTAGATTTTTTTCTTGCTGCAATACTGATTCAACTTTTAACAGTGAATGTTTTTCCCTTGCTACAAAGGATTTGGTTAGTGAATAAGATGAAAAGTATGGTCCCTAATTGAGTGTTGATATGAAATTGAATTTGATGTGAAGTACATGTTTTACTTCTGGGACTAGAAGTCTTGCTATGGAGTTCATTGTTCCTTGGTTTCATGACAATAATTGGGTAAGAAAGTATATGTGGTTCATAGAATTATGAGCAAGTTAGATTGCAGTTAAACTTTTTAGGTTAGATAATTGGACTCTACATAACATCCTGATATGTTTTTCTTTTTACTAGAGTAAAAGAGAATGGATTGTTGAGTATCTGGCATGCCTTTGCAAGATCAGTAAATTGTCCCTCACAGTGTTGAGCCGTAGTTACAATACCCATCATGAGAAATCTGTTTTCATTTTATTATCGCACTAAACTAGCTGTTCATTAAGTTATAAGAACTATATCAGATTTATCGTGATTGATCGTCACTGCAAATTGGATGTTACTTTGCATGATTTCGCAAAAGCTTTGATACTTGAGACTAGTTTGTAACTGTTGTTTGCTGTAGATCAGTAAGCTAATTAGTTGGTTATCGTACCATTGACTCTAGAAATTCTTGACAAGTAATATGATGCACTTAAAAGCAATCATTTGCACCACCCCATCATGGAACATTTTCTCTTATGCATTTTTTTGGGTTCAGATATCATTGAGAGAATTTTTCATTGAATTGCAGCTATGGTGACATCCAAGGTAGGGAAACGCTATGCATTTACTGGCTTTGAAGCTCTGAGAGAGTTGTTTCTGTTGAGGTCAGATAGATATCCTTGTATCCATTAGCAGTTTGACTACTTTCACTGTTGTATGTTTTATGTGAGTTTGGTATATGGATTCGCTCTGCCTTGGATCTATGTCATTTGACTTGTTTTAGATTTTTATTTCAATGTTATAATTAGCGGTTGCAGTTAGTGATTTAAATAGGTGCTCGGGCGCTTGCCTAAGCCCTCGGGCGAGGCGAGGCTTGAGTGCCTTGTGTGTGCACCAGGCAATGCGCTTCAATGAGGCGCCGCTTGGGCGCTCGCTCGAACGTAGTCGCTGGGCGCTTCGACCGAGCACCCGATTCAATTAAGGCGAACTGAACCGGTTTAAGGCTAGTTCAGTTCGTAGTTTCTTACCTCAAAAGCCATGCTTCACACCCGTGCGACCTCGTGGAACCCTAGTGTTGCTTTTGCCTCCATCACCGATGCTTTCTGCCACTACCTTCGTCGTAGACGTAGCGGACCGAGCCCTCTTCTGTTGTTGACGAACGAGTCCGGCAGCCCCCGTAACTTCCTTCCGCTGTCGCTTCCTCCCACTATCGAGGGAGAGGATCGTAGGTTCCTTCGTCATCAACGAACGCCCTCTGGAGCTTTCGTCGCTGCTGCTGCTGTTGTCCGCAGCTTTCATCGTTATCGCCATTGTTGTCCGTAGTTTTCGCCGCTGTCACTGCTACTGTCCCCAGCTTTCCTCGCTATCGATGTTGCTGTCCACAGCTTCTGCCGTTGCCACTATTGTCGTTCATATTGCTGTCGCAATTATCTTAAACTAATCCTCCGTTGCTGTTGCTATCTCCCTCTGTTACTGTTAACATTTTTTCTCCCCCCCTCTAACTTTAAGAAATATATTGTTAGCAGTATATTTTTAATTTAATATCATATTTTAATTTAAATAATTATGTTTTTAATTATATTATATATATATTTTTATATTATAATAATTCAGAGAATATTTTTTTCTCCCTCTCTAACTTAAGTAATATACTGTTAACAATATATTTTTAATTTAATATCATATTTTTATTTAAATAACTATATTTTTAATTATATTATATTTTTATATTTTAATATTTCAAAACGCCTCGCTTCGCTCGAGCAAGCGCCTAGTGCCTTGGCGTTTTGAAACCTTGGCGCCTTTTGACGCCTAGCATTTTTTAAATCACTAATTGTAGTATTCAGAGGGCAAATAGAAGTAGATATTTTAATATTTGAAAAATGTAATCAAAGTTTAGTTGACTTAAATATGGGATGAAATTAAGATTTAAGTCATAAGTGCATACAAAGTGTATATGAGAAACAGTTTATGTTGATATGTCTTATATAAAGCAGAAATAATAGCACTAGGGAAAAAGTAAAACTACACGATGATTGCATTTCATAATATACTGTTGTGTACGTGGCCGACATATTCTACAGCATGTGGCTACATAAGACACATATGTAGTCAAACTGCATATTGAGGCTGCCGATGCCATATGCAATGGTCATCTCCACAGGCATGTATACAGCTGTATGGATCATATTTTAGAATATTTCTATCTTTTCCTATCACTTCCCTGTCATGCCTCTTTGTTAACGCTTGTTGTTTTAAATATCACACATATCAGACCACTTGTAATTGTATGCTTATATATCACTTGAAAATTTGCTATTCCACAGGACGTTTAGCCCTTTGCTTGTTATGACCAAAATGACATATTCTATTGCAACTGTATTTTCAATTGTACTACTTTGTTTTTTTAATTCTAGCCTAGAAACCATACAATGACATGGTTAAACATTATAAATATTTCAATAACAAATGTTTTGAAATTAATGATTTTAGTATACAGCTCACCTTGTATTTAATTATGTACAAATTATATTATCTTATTGATTGTTGCAATGTACAGCTCAACTTTATTTAATTATGTACCAAATACATCATTCTGAATGTCGAGTATGTTTCAATTTCTAAAATATGGATAGTTTTTTTCTTCTCTGCTGCTTCTAATGTTTTGTTTTCCACATGTAAACTAGCTTAAATTATTGTCTTAAATGTTTGTTATTCTAGATTGCTGCCAGATCGCAAGCTAAAATCTCTGTTTCAACGCCCCTTGGATAGTTTGTCTGAGACAAAAGATGGTTTCTCTCTTTTACTCTTTTGGTATTGGGAAGAATGCTTGAAGCAAAGGTGTGCATTTACTTACATTTCAACTTTTCTTGCTTGCTTGAACTTTTGGTCATGAGGTTAGTTAGTAGCATTGGATGTGATTAAAAATCATGCTAGGATTGGCCAGCCTGGGATTAAACATACTCTTAATTAGTCCTTTTGTGTTGTATAGGCTATCTACAAGCTAAATTCTTTATCTAGGGAGAATTGACTCAACTTGTTAAAGAGTTTAGTCTGCCACATCAGTGACACTAAAAAAAAAAAAAAGAAGAGAAGGAAAACACACATCAACTGATTCTTCATCTGCTTTTCTATAACTTATTTTGGCCATAACTTTTTATGGTCTGATAAGTTGATATTATTGAAAGAATATAAATATAGCTGTTTAAAGATAATGGGATCAGGGGCTATTAATATGGCACTATTGGAGTTCATATATAATATTATATATCCTATTGCATACAGTTCATAAATTAAAGTTCAGATTTGGAGCCAACTGCCATCTCCTTTTTACAGTTTCAATACGAATGTCTTGCACCTATTTGTATATAATCCATTACTATTGTTCGAAATATGCTGCCTTCAGGTATGAACGATTTGTTACTGCACTTGAGGAAGCATTAAAAGATATGTTGCCAAATCTGAAGGACAAGGCAATGAAGGTGAGTTCCTCATTCTATTTCCTTTCAAGTACTATTACTTATGCAGTACATCCAACCACAATATGCTTGTTAGCAATCTCATTTTCTGTTGAGAAAAAAAAAATTTAGAAATGGTTCTACTGCTTGATGCTAGTTCTAGTGCATCATGTTGTACTATTGGAACGATCGATGTCTTTTGGATGGTGGCTTTCTAAATCCTAACATGCATATTTAAGCTCATCCAATCATTTAAAAAAAAACATGGAGAATCTTTTTCCTACAATTCTAATTATTGTGTCTATCGTTAGTCATGAAAGAGGTTACATTTTTTTCATACTGTTGTTGGAGTCACAAGTATTGTAAAAGAATAATCATAATTGTTGAGTTTTGTTATGACTTTATACATTTGCATTTATTCAACCATCTTCCAATTAAAGCATTCTTGATTTTGGTTGGTTGAGGTTTCCTTTAAAGAAGATGGATCTTTGTGTCATTGTAAGGTTTCTCCTTTGAGAATGGGTTGACTATGGGTTTGAGATATACAAAATGTCTCTTTTGGGTAAGGTTGTGTACATTAATCCTCCTTAGACCCTGAATATACAGGAGTCACATGTACTGAGTGCCAATTTGGGTTTCTATAACACAGCCATGAATTGAAGTGTCACATACTGTACCCTTACAACTAATGGCTGGAAAAATGTACACCCCATGACATACCCTGGTATGCTGACCTTGTACATGTGATGTCATATGCTAAAATCTCATTTGAAAAGAGAGGGTATTTACTGGATGTATATTGATCATTGCCTGTGCATTGAGTATAGACAGCTCGATACACATCTATATGGACAGGCATGTGCTGTAATGCAATGCCCCAATTTTATTGGCACCTGCAAAGTCTGAAATAAACAATGCTAGAATACAATTTTAGGTCTTCAGACAAACTTAACAATAATAAGTGGTATGAAAATCAATATTGTTAATCTAATAGTTGCTTGCGGAACATGGGACTTTTATGACTGTATAATATGATGTAGCAGGAGCTATATTGCTATAATGAGTTTGTTTTGGCACAATCTTCATGTTGTTTGATATAGGATAATGGTACTGGTCACAATTTTCCAATGATATGTTTGTATCAACTTCCATTAAGAAGGATGTTATGATTTATCTTCTCAAAACAATTGTTTCAGGGACTTGGTAGGAGTAGAATATGATATTTTTACAAAGTACATCCCTTTTCTGCTAATAAAGAAAATTGTTATATAATTGTTCTTTGCAGACAGTGTTCTTTCTCTTAAAGAGTAAACCAGAACAAGAACGTAGATTGCTTACAGCTATTGTAAATAAAGTAAGTGAACTTTCAGTATCATTTCCTAAGTAAAATTAATTCTCTGCTTTAAAGATAAAGGGAAAGGATTTGAAAAGAAGATTTCTGATTCCTGTGATTTTATCATGAATGAGAAATTGTATTTTTTCTGTATTTGTAGCTAGGGGATCCGGAGAGGAAAGCAGCATCTGGGGCTATGTATCACTTGTCTTGCCTTTTGTCTGCACATCCTAATATGAAGGTAATTTTTGTTTTAGAACTGCCCTGTTTGCTGGTCACTGTTTTGAAGTTGGCTTGGAGGTATTTTTTTCTGTGGTTGGTGAATAATGAGCTTGTTTGCTCATTTGTTTATAAAGTGATAATTACTATGCATAGCTATATTTATTGGCTTTTCTTTTCAGATACAACCCCAGCCCTGGAATCTGGTCCTTTCATTCTTAGAATTAATAAAGCCTTTCGTGTGACTTGTGCTATACAGTTGATAGCGTTGGGCTTCTTGTTTTACTGCTTAACGTGCTTGTTTTATTCCTAGTTTTTCTTATATGTTTCTTCATTTCTTTTTATTTCCTCTTTTCAACATATAAGAAAATATTCTATGAAAAATTTGACGGTGGCTGTTGTTAATGGATGATCGATTTCTTGCTCTTTGAACAATTTGTTGTTAAGGACGGATGTTGTTTCTGTGTTCTGGTTTACAATGGACATTAATCTGTTAGTTAAACGAGATTTTATGTGGGACAAATGAAAAGCCACCCATATGTGTGTAGGAAATGCATGTTAGAAAATTCAATTATGACTGACAAGTGGAAACATTCACCGGGCTTGCTAGTATTTATTTTTTATTTTACACTTCTATTTTGGACTCACTTTTGCACTGATCTTGCTTGCCAGGCAGTGGTAATTGACGAAGTTGATGCCTTTATCTTCAGACCACATATAGGACTGCGTGCAAAATACCAAGCTGTATGTTTGATCTGTACAGTTCTGTTATTAGCATGATTTGCCAAATTTTGAGTTGCAGTTCATGTGATTTAATTGTTTGCAACAGGGCTTTCTATTTATATTCATCCCATGTCTTCAAGTTCACATTATCTACATATAATTTTGTTCACAATTGAAGATATTTCATGATGGCTAATGTTTTAGGTGAATATTGCAAATATGGGGAAAAAAAAGAGGTTCCAGAAAACTGTTTTGGATTAAGTGGTTATTGATTAATATTGCATATTTAGTTTTTTTTGCACCTGCAAATATTCAATATGCAGAATACTCTTTTTGTTTGCATGTCAACAGCAGCAGTAAGCCAGTATTATCTGTTTGTGTTGGTTGCATGGTAAGTCTTTCTGTAGCAAGTGGAATTCATGATGGTATTTTGACTCCTGATAAGCGTAAATGCTGCACCAATGTTCTTTTTTTATTTTAGAAAATATCTAACTGATTGTCATGCTCATTTTTTCGCTGTTTCTTTATTAACTTATGTATAAAACAAAAGCACTATCCATTGAGAGATTGTCCATGATTTTATTGGTTATGCATAACAAAACAAATTTATGCATATTTATAAATGATTCAGAACCATCACATTCTTTCTGTCAAAAAATCAGTGTTTGGCCAATTCTCAATTTATATTCACCAAGTGTGTTGCAAAGACTGATCTGTTAGTAGGTAGTGGGAAGGGGCACTACCGACTGCATTAAGGAACATGAATATATTCAATTTTTGGAAACTAATTAACTTAGTTTTGTCAGACATGCAAGTTTTTCAATAATGAAGCTGTAGACACAATTAGATAAGTACTTTTTCTTTGTTGCCATCCACGTGTCTTGGTATTATGAAGTTTTTCCTTTGAAGTTATATAGCATCTTACAGACCATGATCCATTATATTTTCAGTTGTTTTCTTCTATGACACATTTTGATACTATTCCATTTTGCTACTATATTCGGCTAACCTTATTGTGATTTTTTATATAGGTTAATTTCTTAAGTCAAATTTTTCTCAGCAAAAAAGGGGATGGACCTAAAATTGCAAAACGGTTGGTTGATGTATATTTTGCGCTCTTTAAGGTAGAGTTATGAATTTGCTTTATGGTATTTCATACGGAGCATCATCATGTCATTAGCATGGTTTATGTGTGATGTCTTTTTTATTCCTTTTGCCCTTGCAGGCATTACTTGTAGTTGGGATTTTATGGCTTTGTTGTTGTCGTTGTAGATAATACTTGTAACATGTGAACAATCTTTCTCATGTTTCTTCTGGTTAGACTGATTATATAACATGGGATGTTTTCCATATTAAAAGAAGTGTATAGTAGAGAAGACACAGGTCAATACTTCAGTTATGGAGGTAGCTGTTAAAAATAAGAACTAAATGCTCTAAGTTAAGGATGAAGGGAAGGTAGTAATAGTTGGCCACTTTTTGGCATACTATAGAGAAGAGTAGGGGTGTGTGTCTGTGTGTAACTGTGCTAGTCCGTCGTGTTGGCATCGTCTCATGCATAGCACGAGTATAGCCAGTGTTCTCACTTGCCTAAGCGCTCGAGCATGGCGAGGCTCAAGGGTCTCAAAATGGTTTAGACGAGCCATTTGGATTGGGCACTGCTTAGGTTCACCTTTGCCTCGTGACACAATCCCCTCGTCACTACCCATGCATACCCTCACGAGAAACACTAAGCTTCCTCGTCTCTAGTGACACTAGCAGCACTTATCGTCAAAGCTATCATCGATGAACAGGAGGCTTTCCTCTAAAGTAATCAGCGCTGCATCCGAGTCTTCTCACCGACATTTAAGCCGTCGTACTTGAGCCTTAATGTTGTCAGGTGCTCCGGGACCGACACTTTCATTACTTGGACCAGAGTCTTCTACCAAAATTTTTGCTATCGTACCTGATTCTTTCTACATGGTTGACATGATGGTAAATTTTTACTACCAGACACAAACCTTCCTGCTGTGAATTGCTCCAAGCCTGCTGATTCTTTCACTGCTGGACCCAAGCCTTAAAGCAGATGCTTTCGCCTCGCATTTCCACTGTCGTCTGTAGAGGACTCCTTCTCCCTCTCCAAATCTTTAACTGATTGTAAATGATGGTAAATTTTTATTCTGGTTTGCCAAATGCTAATGAATGAACGAGTTTACAATTTGTATTTTCTTTGAAATTCCATGACATAGACATTGAAAAAAATCAACTCTGTTTCCTAATTGAGATTTTCTTAACACTCTGGGATATGTTGCTGTACTATTACCATTTAAGATCTCAAGACAATCTGTTAAACCTAGTGATAAATAATGTAGTGACCTTGGAGGTTTTTGTATGCTCCTGATTTAGTTGTCTCTTTCATATAATGCTATATTTTGTTGCTTTTAACTTTTGATGGTAGGCAACAATTGTTGTCTTGGATTTTCTGTTGAATATTGCATATTGTCAATTCTTAGACATTTCATTTGCATATTGACATTGCTTAATATGTATTTCTTTCTTAGATTTTCTGTTAAATATTGCATATGATAGATTTTAAAGACTGCATTTTCAGATACTAATTTCAGAGGCTCAAGATGGACAATCCAACAAGAATGACAAAAAAAGTGGTTTAAATGTGAAGGGAAAGGGGAAAAAAGGCAAGACTGATTCACTGAAAACTCTTAGAAAAAACAAAAATGAACCTTCTTTGGAGTCTAATATTGAGATGGATTCTCGCCTTCTCTCTGCACTGCTAACTGTGAGTATGCCAATTGGTTCTTAAACTCATTGTAAAATTGACATGTAAAATTGTATATCAAGTGCCTACAGTCTTCAAATAGAATTATTGAAAGATCTACTGGTATTGTTTTGTTGCTTTTACATGGTCATATTTTTTCCGGAATGATAAACACAGTAATGGACAACATCAAGGCTTATACTGTAGGTCTCATGCATGGTCTTTTTGACAGATATCTTTTGCACATCAAGTGAACTTTTCATGAAAAAGCTAGTAGATTTCTTATCTTGTTTTCTTGATTGAGTATTCTGGATTTAATGAACTTAAAATCAGACGTCTGATGTTTACTCAATTTTACAGGGCATTAATAGAGCATTTCCTTTCATTGCAAGTGATGATGCGGAAAGCATTATAGAAATTCAAACACCTGTACTGTTCAAATTGGTGAGGTTATGGACTAGTCATCTAGAGCAGATAGGACTTTTATGATGTTGTGGATATGACAATCATATTTAATCTTATCCTGTTGAATGCAGGTCCATTCTAAGAATTTTAATGTGGGAGTTCAGGCACTGATGCTGTTGTATCAGATATCTTCCAAGAATCAGATTGTTAGTGACCGTTTTTATCGTGCTGTCTATGCAAAGTTACTGACTCCTTCTGCACTTACTTCCTCAAAGGTAGTTGTCCTTCAATACTTTTGGTCATGCTACGTTTAGTTCTCATCTGAATTTTATACTGTTCATTTGCCTATTTATTCGATCAATAGATTGTCTTGGCTTTATTATTTTCATATTGCAGACAGGTTTTCTGAGTACACAACATACAAAACGAGTTGTTTCATCATTCAGAATACTGCTGATAGACATAATTATTTCAGCAAATGTTTTCAATATCAGAACACAAATAAATTAAATCTATTTAATGAATCTCTTTTATGGTGAACCTTGTGGCATTTTCTGAGGCATCTCTAATAAATTTTTTTTGGGTGCAATGATGAGGTTGCTACCTTTGTGGGCGTCATAGGTCTGAATTATGAATGTCTCTTCAAGTGCACAATTAAGACTGCACAAATATGTTCCCACGTAGTGTCTGCAGTGGTGGGTGTGGTCATAGATCTGAATCATTTAAAGTCTCTGCAGTGGTGGGAATTTTGTGCCAGTGCTGCCTACACTGCTTTTGTAAATTTATTTGGCAGTTATTGTTTATCATCTAGTTAAATAAAAACCCTCTGAATTTTTTGGAAATAAATTAAATGTTGTGCCCATATGGACCATTTTTTCTATACATGGTTTTACCTGGGGGACTAAGCAAAGAAGTAACAAACCTTTAGGTTTTTAAATGACTGGTTGAGGAATGACATTTCTGTCATTTGAACCATGTGCTTTCATGCATCTTCTGTGCATGCCGTCTTAGCAGACTAGCAGATTGCTGGTTTTTCCGGATGAACCTTGCATAGCACTCATGTAGACACCTTTTCTTTGTCTGACAATGTTCCTCCGCTTTTCATTTTTATGTGGCGAACTAAACATTTTCTGTTGCTGTTTCAGCCAGAAATGTTTCTTGGGCTATTGGTCAAAGCAATGAAGAATGACTTGAACATGAAGCGGGTAGCTGCCATCTCGAAGCGCCTTTTACAGGTTTAATATTACTTTTCACGTAGCGTTAGTTGGATTTGACTGCATTCTGGAAATGTAGTCGTTGTTGGATAAAAATGAAACTTCCTCTTGTAAAAGTATGTGATCATATGTTTTATTATTTCTGCTTCATTTTTTCCCTTGGTTTAATTGATTTGTGATGATCTGACAAAAGTCTGTTTCTATCATTTGACAGAGCTTAGACTTTTGAACACATAAATCTTTGAGATGATATCTTAAATGAAAGTTGTATCATCTCAATAATGGTTTCGTAATCTACGAGTTATACCTTTCTCAAGATATAGTTTGGATTGAATTCTCCTGGCAGATTAATTGTTTAAGAATTACTTCTTACATCAAAATTTTAGTATTTACGTGCTATAAGTGAACATGTAATTCATGACTTTTGGTTTAATAAAGCTTGGGTGGTGGTTTCATTCTAAATGCTACTTATATGGGTACCTAATACTTGGAACCACCAGAGTGAAAATTACTTTGTTGCTGATTTCAGACCAATTATATGATAAAACAGCTTTAGTGATCTAATTAGATTATGATTGTCATGTTTTGCTATAGTTTCTTGGTATTGTAGGTTATAACATGTCGAAGAAGGCATATATGCCGCAAGTATTTCAATTAACTACATTAGACCAACTCTTAGCTTCATGGGGTTCAAACACTGGTGAGGCTATGATAAAAGAGGTGTTTAGAATTGGCAAGCTTGATTGTCAGGATCCCAGCATTGTTTAGTCAGAATGAATTGGAAGACCACCTCTAGTATGCTTGTTCTGTATGAAATAAAAATACATTGTAAGATCAGATTCAATTATATTTTAGTTTCTAAATTGTTTATTTTAGATGTTCCATGCTACTTGAGAGCAAGGTTCGTCGTATCGTACTGTACCGGTATTTCAACCTGGGTTCGGTACGGTACAGTACCAGTGTACCGGACGGTACATAGGGCATATCGATAGCCGTGCTATAGTATAGTATTATAGTACTGCTACAGTGTTACAGTAAAGATACTGTATCACTTCGGTATGACAGACGTTGCTTGAGAGGACTTTTAACCAATTATTTGGTTCCATTTTCCAAAAGTAATTTCTATAAAGCTTTACCAGCAGGCTTGTTTCCTTACAGCATAAATGCTGATGTGTATTTTAAACGGACAAGTGAAATGATAATCAATTTGTCTTCTTTGTGATTTTAATTTAATTAGTTTCTTTTTACATAGGTTGCGCTTCAAAGGCCCCCTCAGTATGCTTGTGGGTGCCTGTTTATATTATCTGAAGTTCTTAAGGCAAAACCACCTTTATGGTATGTTATTTTTAATATTGTGGCTAAATCTGGACAAAACAATTATTATTTATGTTTGTTGAATAAAAGTTCTGCTCTGATGCTTTACCTGACAAATTGTCAGGGCTGTTATCCTACAAAATGAGACTGCTGATGATGATATTGAGCACTTTGTCGACGTACCAGAAGATCCTGAAGATCTAGCCAGTGGTTCTATTGTGTCACAACATGATAAAAATTCACATGAGTATGAAAAGGATCAGGTCTCTGAAGGTGAAACTGGTTTGGAAGATAGACTAAAAATCAATACAATAAGAAATCACAGCTTAGGAGGTGATCAAGCACTTCATACAGGGTCCACACTGCCTGCAGGCTACAATCCACGGCATAGAGAACCATCTTACTGGTACTTATTTGTTTCTTGAGTACATTAATCATACTGATAAAGTGTTTTCACATTGAATTCTTACTTACTGTGCATTCTTATCTTCTAGAAACATGATTTTTTTGCAGAATAATTTTGTTTAGTTATTTATATTGACAATAAATCAATCCAAATCAAACTGATTGGTAGGACTCCCACCCACACCGGGTGCTGTTCTTTGTATCGGACAGACCATGGGAATCAATGACAATTTCAAAATGTAGCAGATCCTGGCGTTCAATCTTTTGGGGGATCTTAATGCCCATTGGAAAGCTTATCTAGGTGACCAGGGTTTGAGCCATGGAAATAGCTGCTTTTTTACTGGGGCAGACCTGTAAAAATTGAATAGAACAAACCTAATTACAGATTAAAGACAGTAAAACAGTAAAAACCAAAGCGAAAGAACCTTGAGGGCCAAAAAAAAAGGATTTGACATACACTATAAGAAAGAAATTCATATAAAAAACTTGAGTGCAAAGCAATTGAAGTAGAGAGAGCATATAAAATAATTTAATGCAAAAACTTGGAACTAACAAAATGAATAAATCAGATCAACATTGCTCTTATGCCACTGCTGTTCTTTGTCTTCAAGCTGGAGACAACAAGACAATCTTGCTGTTGTGCAAAATTCTTCATCAGCATTATTTGGGGACTCCAACAAATAGCAATGCCTTACACTAGCATTGGCAGCAGGATACTGGAAGCTGACACAATTTAGGGAGGGATGTTTGGGAGGGGCAAGGGAGAGATCGACAGTTGTGGAAATGTAAGGTGCTAAAACATGAGCACCTAAGGTTGTAGGGTTGGTGCTTGGTGACATGACTGATTGGACCAAGCCATTGGATCTTGTGCTACTGTTAAATAGTATAATGCTTCTCATGGAGCATTCAGTTTGTTTTCAGTTTGGATTCTTTTAGCCAGCTAAACCAATATTTAGCCAAATACTTCATGCGCCTAAACCAAAATTGAACCACTCATCTAAATAAATCATGCAGAACAGAACTTTGCACCCTGATTCAGCTCAATTTTTTGGTTTTGTTCACATACTCAGCCCTGCATTTAAGTAATAACTGAATATTTTTCCCCATATGACTCTTTTCCTTGTGTCTTTTATTACTAAACTCCTACTTCCATGTGCTGTTGAAAGCTCTCCAAGTTCTTCATGGTGACCAGTAATGGCAGAATCAGTTGTGGGTTGATGACTGCAATACCAACTGTCAGGAATGAATGTCCAGAAGACAACTCATGAGCAGAAAGGCAGCTCGAAATGGAGAGCTGGAGGGTAAATGTCTTTGAGCTGGAGACACTGATGACGTAACAGGAAACCATGTGCCTACTATGTGACAACATTGCTGTTAGATGTGTGTTGTTGAGCTTGAAGGACCAGCTCAGTATTGAACTTTCATGGTTCTAGCCACCTAATTGTCCATGTTGCCATGTGCCTGCATGAAAGAGAAACATACTAGCACACTCTTTAGCCTTGGCAGCATGTTCTTATCAGTCTTCTAATTCTTTTCTGCTCTTTTAACAATGATTGAATTCATCCTTTTTTCTGTCACATTTTGGAGTGCTTTTTTTTATCCTTGATTCAATGACATTAGATGCACAAGTATGAAATGAATTGCATTAGTGTAGTTGTAGGGGGCCTTCTACATCTAGGTATGCATGTAGCTTCCTTTTCAATCCCTTGGGACATGTTGCCCTTGTGGTCATGCAGGCCGCTGGAGCTTTCTCATTTATTTATGCACATTGCTGATGAATCTTAATTCTCTTTCATAATTCATAGTTCTTGACGTACTCAACTAGAATATTGCTGATAAGTTTGTGCATGTTTTGCTAATAGCAATGCAGACCGTGCAAGTTGGTGGGAGCTGACAGTATTGGCATCGCATGTGCACCCATCGGTTGCAACCATGGCCAGGACTGTGTTATCTGGGGCCAACATTGTTTACAATGGTGACCCTCTAAATGATTTGTCTCTTACTTCTTTTATCGACAAGTTTATGGAGAAGAAACCGAAACCAAACCGAAAAGCTGAAGGAAGTTGGCATGGTGGATCTCAAATTGCACCTGCAAGAAAGGTTTGTGGTGTTTTCTAAAACCTAATGTTGTCCTTGATTGGAAATCATGTAATAGTGTTAGCTTTCTCAACAGATAATTTTTATTGTTACATTCCACAAATCACTGCACAGTGGGTTTAAGCTCTTTTTGTGTCTTCTTTTTGTGACTTCTAGAAGCTCACTTGAATTTACTTGGGAGGGTATCTCTATCATATTACGGTACAAGATAGAATGAACTTTCCAGCTTTATATACTGTAAATGTTCTATGACCATACTAGTAACCATTTTTCTGTCTTACAATCACTGCCCTCCATCCTTCCCTCTTGCTGATGTCGTTCAGTTGATATCGAACCTGGTTTGGGTCATTCACTTGTTTTCTTTACTATTTTGGTTGACATATGTAGCTGGAAAACGAAGCTAGATTTATGATAATTTTTGCAAGAATTGCTGTCCTCACCTGATGTCTGTGCTGTTTAGCACAGACTTCGGCGGCAGTGTCCGTTCGTCATACTGGTCCATTAAATGGAGTACTTTCAGTTCTTTTATGTCGATCCTTTATTTTGTTTCTCTGTAGCCATTCTTATATTTCATATGATTTACTAATTAATATGGTTCATGACACTCTGAGTGGAATTTTTTGCTTTTGTGTAGATCGACGTGAGCAGTCATCTTATTGGTGAAGATATTCTACAGCTAGCAGAGGATGAAGTGGCCCCTGAAGATGTTGTCTTCCACAGATTCTACATGAACAAAACAAACACGTCAAAGAAGCCAAAGGCAAAAAGAAAAAAGGCTGCGCAAGATGATGAGGATGCAGATGATCTTTTGTTGGATGCAAGCGACGATAGTGAAGAAGAGGAGATTGATAACATGATGGGATCTGGTCCTCTTCCTGTGGAAGATGCTGGTGAAGATTATGACTATGATGATCTCGACAAAGTTGCTGATGAGGATGATGATGATTTGCTTGGAAATGGTAGTGATGCAGAGACAGGTCCTTCAGCAAATCTCATTTCACGCGAAGATGGTGGGATTGCAAATGATGATGATGACGGCAGCATTGATACATGGAATAGTGATTCCGAGGGAGGTGTCGATGATCTTGCTGATGTTGGTACCGATATGAATGATGATGGCATTAATGATAATGATGACAAAAGTGAGGTACCTGATGATAAAGTTGGTAAGCGGAGGAAACATAAGTTGAATGGTAGGTCTCGAACATCACCATTTGCTAGTCTTGAAGAGTATGAACACCTCATGAGTGACAAGGGGGATAGCATCGATAAGTTGAGATCACATAAGAAGAAAAAGAAGAAAGTATCTAATTGAGTGTTTCAGAAAAAAAATGTCACGATTTCCTAGTGTAACCTGTAATGGGTAAGAAGACTGTGTTTGGTTACTCGGTTGAAAGAAGAGTAGTGGGCAGAAGAGAAGGGGAAAGGGAAAGGGAAAGGAGGGGAAAGATTTGTGTTTGTGTTGATGGAATCAAGAGAAGGGATCACATTGAACTCTCCTTCCTCTGCAAAGCTGCCCAGTTTTAGAGAGAGCCAATATGGATTTTGGTAGGCTCTGGTTCTCTTTGTTTCTTGTCCTAACTATGTTGACAACACAAAAGGAGGGGTCTCTTCCTTTTGTTCTTGTTAATGTAGCCATAAGAAGCAAGCTTTCTAATAGTTGAGTCTGTGTCGGAGGGACAATGGAATAGCAAAATTGGATTATACCCCCCTTGTGTTTTAATAATATTTGTTTTTTTTCTTAAATATGTCTGCTTTATATATTTGTTCTTTTTTTTTCCTTCTTTACTTGGTATTTATTTTGCCCACAAAATATACTACTGAGCAAGAGCCCAACCGGCGCTTTGTGACTCGACTATCGTCCAAGCTTGCCTACGGTTGTATTATTGTATCCGAAACAACCACGGGATGGCAGCGGAGCACGTGAGGTGAGCTTACCGCGTTGCAGTTTGGCGACAAAGTGCCCCCAAAAAACGACATTTTGGCCCAAATCCTCGAGTTCTTGTCATCCACCACGGTGACTAGATTCCAATAAGTTGTATTTCCATGTGATCTATCGTTACGCCCGACCCTCCACCTCAGCCTGTTTGAGAAGAAGAGGTGTAGCGAACGGCAGATGACCGAGGAGGAGGATGAAGAGATGAGATTAGGAGGAGGAGTATACTATCAGGTGGACGTCCAACCCAGCTTCCCTTTCCGCCACTACCGGCCCAACGCAACAACTTCGCCGCCGTCGGCACCATCCTTCGCTACGACCGCCGCTCGTTCCTCGCCTGCCTTGGGACTCATATGTGATTTTGGGATGGGAAAAGAAAGGTGCATATGGGCGAGTCGTCCGCTCTTCCTACGTTGGGGCTCTTCCTACGTTGGGTTTAGCTCGTGGTTCGATCACCCGGATGGCGGACGGGTTGAGCAGACCCAACGACCCAGCGAGGTGGGCTTGTTTGGTTCCGAACCGTAAAACATATCTGGGTTCGTTCACCGGTTAGTGAGCTTACCACATACGTGTCTGGCGACAAAGAGGCCCAAAAAAAATTTTTTTGGCGTCAAATCCACCAAATTTTGTGTTCTTATTCTTAACCGCGGTGACCAGACTCGAGAAAACTGACTGCGCCTCACCTCCTCAAAAAAAAGGCCACCGAAACCGAGCCAGACCCGTGGGGACCATGACTCCGTGGCCCCGACACCTAAACGGTTGGTTCGAAAAACCTCTATGTACACTTACCGATTACCGGTTAGGTGGCAAAGAGGCCCAAAAAAAAGTTTTTTGAGCGCAAATCCTTAAAATTCTGCGTTCTTATTCTTACGAGGGGTGTCTAGACTTCCAGGTGCGAGACGGGCCAAGCCGCGTTGGGTCGGGCCATCGTGGCCTACCGTATGAGCACGACCCAAACCCCGACCCGTGCGTTGTGGCTACGAACATGCTCGAGTGGGTTTACCGTATATCAGTTTGGCGACACAGTGCCCCAAAAATAAATTTTTGGTCCGAAATCCTTGAGGTTCAACATTCTTATCGGCCACTGCCGTGACCAGATTCTGGTGGTTCACTGTTTCCCTCGACTTAACCTCGACCCGCAGCGCCACCGTCGTCTACGCCGTCCATCCTAAAGCTGTAACGACTCACCGTCAATAGAGAGGATCGCGAAGAAGAGGGATAGTGAACGGCGGACGAGGGTAAAAGGGGAAGGAGATGAATGGCAAGGCGGATGTCCAACCCAAATCCCCCTTCCGCCTCCACCGGCCTAACGCAAACGGATGCCTCCGTCGCTGTTGCCGCTCCTTCCGCTCCATCGGGTCCAATCACCCAGACGACGCGCTCAGCTTAGTGAGTCCATCAGACAAAAGGAGATGGCAATCAATCAGGCTGCGGGGCGGTTCCGAACCATGATAGACGGCTACAAGCACCGGTTCCTAAGCTTACCGCACGCGCGTCTGGTGTCAAAAGGCCCCAAAAAAAAAAAAAAAAAATTTGTTTTGTCAAAAGCTTCAGTTTCTGTACTCTTATACTTACCTCTGGTGAGCGTATTCAAGAAATCGAACCGGCCAATCTCGTGAGTGGGCTTCTACTTAGGTGTGATCGAACAGGCCGGACCGGCTTGAGTTGGGCCGACTTGGCCCATATTCTCTTACCCGTAAAGCGAGACATCAACACCGTCCCTTGGCTTACTGCAGACACCATCGAGGTGAGCGTATTATTTCAGATGTCAAATCCGAGGGGTTGGGTCTCTGTTCTTAGTCTTACTAGAGATGGCCGGATTCAGATGTCACCATTATCTGCCCACCACCGATCTGCTCGTGTCACCAAAGAAGATTAGGAGGTAGTCGAAGGAGAGGTAGTATATCGCTCGCGCTGCTTCCGCCTGAAATGTGAGAAAAAGGATTGCGCAAGAGGCGGCTGGAGGAGAGGAGGAGATGGTGGTGGTCTTCCTATTCGTTTTCGGGGATTCGGATAGGACAGTATAAGAGGCAATCTCCCAAATAGATGGATTCCACTTGGAAGGCACACTTGTGTCGAGTCAGGAGAAAGCTACCGGCCTCGACGACGGTTAGTAGATTTGTGATAGAAAAATACAAGGTAAATCCAGTGGGTTCCTTGTTTCTCCATGACAATCTTGGGTAGAAAAATCTAGTGGTTCCTTATTTCTCTCAGTCAAGACAGCCTCGGAAAACCCAGTATTCGCAGGCATCAAATGTTAAACGACAATTGATGATCGGAAAAAAAAAAAAAGTGGCCTTGTACACCGACGACGCCAATAATGGCACACGAGAAAAACAGGCTCTGACGATCTTAACCAGCAGCAGCAGATTCATGTACTATATATAAATGAGCTACTCACAATTGTCTGAGGGAGTAACATTGCATAGGAAGGGAAGTGGTATAAAAGGAGTGCTTTGAGCCACCACCCATTGATACGATTAAAGTGGAACGCGTGATTGCAAACACCTAAGCAGATGAGCATAGAGTCAACAGAAAGAATTGCACAGAAGACGGAGGCAGCGAAGCATTTGATGTTTGGAACATATACAAAGAATGTATGACTCACTGGCTGGCTCAATGGACCCCTACTGCCAAATCACAAATAGAAAGCAACTGTTCAAACATCTTAGATAAAAAAAAAGAAATATAGAGAGAAAACAACTTTTACCAACTTTGAAACCAAACCAGAATCGAATGTGTTGGCTAGGTTAAGCCTTGACAGTTGTTCGTAAGGTCCTCGAATCGAATCCCGTCTTCACCTATATTACCATTTGCAGATTAAAAAAAAAAGAAAACAATCAGATTGTATTATGGATGTAATTTCAGTGGCAGCATCATACATTGTGGCTGATAATTTCACTCGCATGGCTCAGCTTCAACTAAAGCACAAAAAATGACAGACAAAATTAGACCAATAAACATTTACAAGTAAGTCTCTATCACAATGATCTAATGAAGCTTTTCCAAATCCATTTCTTATATATCTCGATCCGACAGGCAAAGGAACTGAATGTACAAGCAACCATGCTACCATACCAATGTATAACCAATTTTTAATCATTTAATGCCGAAGTTTTTGTATGCTTTTAGTTCATAGTGTCGTTATCTATGTTTGATAGAATTCTAATGCTGCCAAGAGATTCAGTTGATGCAAGAACAAATAAAATCGATACATCACAGATTCAGTTGAGTTAAAACCCCAGTGAACTCAAACTCACTCGGCAGGCAGGACATTGATGGGTAACTAACTAACTAACTAACTAACTAACTAGGCATCGAGAGTTTGGTCCAAAATGAATTCAATGTTTCTAAAATAGCGTTGGTCTCGGAGGCTCGATCAGAATTCTAAATTATGCTGGTTAAACTGTGGGACGAATTGATGTCTGAACCAATATTTGTGAGCAAACGAATTCGATCGAAACAGGAAACCTATAATAACACTAATTTTCGGCAACAAAATAGAATGTTACGATATTGAGATAAATGACACTCTCGAGAAACATACTAATTTGCGGCATACAAAATTTTCATGAAAGTTAAAACCATATAGGAGGATCGTTCAAGACAAGAAAGCCGAAAAGAACTCGCATCGCGCGAGTAACAAAACGTGAGGCATACGCACTCGCGTGTATAGGCTGGCGCTCAACGCCTGCTGCAAGGAGATTTCAGAACCAAGAACAACCAGATCTGAAAGTCCAACCATATACATAAACCTAAAGAATCACCAAAACATGCGACCAAGACGGAGCAAATCAAGAAAATATACAAGGGGAAAGGCAGGTCACAGAGGACCAGGATGTGATTCCCACAATTATCCACCACGACATCATATCGGTCAATCAATTGGAAAGATCCACGGATAAAGAATCAAGACCCCAAGTGAAACAATCCAATACAAAGTGCAAAGCGCCATCGGCGATCGGACACATACCCCAGGCCCAGAGGGCGATAGCATTCCACTTGTTGATCCCAAACGTGTTCCGCTTCTTCGATAAGGACGACTACCCGGCGGCGCCACTGGACCGTTCGCGGGCCGGAACCATGTTGATGTCGGTGCGGAGGGAAGCCATGGATGGAAGCGAGGAGGAGGGTTTGGTGATGCCGAGGAGGGGCACCGCATGATCGCCGAGCTTCTAAATCATTATGATATGAATAATAATAATATTATTATTATTAAAGGGTTGTCATGTGTTTGGGTCGTTTCACGTGAGTGAGATGGACATCGTACTTTGCCCAACAAAAATTATTTGATGGCGCACCGTACCGTACCGCACCGGCAAAGCAAAGTGTGGCTTACGTCCCAAGTGCCGTGAGAGCCGACTGGGCGTGCTACAACAAAAATTATTCCGTTTTTAATTTCTATAATTCAGAAAGCGATGAAGAATATAGTAGTTTATGTGACGACCCCACCACCAAATCGTTCGACGGCCAATTAAATTCCACGTCAAGCCCCCCCCCAAAACACACAATAACACAATAATAATACCATCTACCACCTGCGGAGATCCGGTTAAGCATTGATCCCTCCGAGCCGAACCTTGAAATCAAATCCACGTCGAAAAAAAGTACAAGACAGTGCGCTTGGCTTCGAAGCAAGAAGACAAGTGAAGAGAGCTTCCATGGATGTGGTGTGGTGTGGTGTGGTATGATGTGAGTATAGTGTATGATACAAAAGTTGAGGTCTTCTTCCATCACGCGCTTGGCTTGTTGGCTTGGATCGACGAAGCAGGATGAGTTGCTGCTCCCTTGGAAACTCCACCCGCTGCATTCTTGGTGGCGACGCTGGATTTCGACGCTCCGTCGCAAGCGGGTTGTGCATCTCGGTTGGCTACCTTGGAAGCAGGTTTCAGGGTGGGAATGTCGAACTCGAGTCCGTCTTCTATGTCATTATCTTTGACAGCACGGGGATGATGCCTGCGCCGGGATCCAGACTTTGGCTCCGACATCAGTCGAGCGCATAGCCGTCCGGCGACGCATGCGATGATGGCCAGCACAGCAATCACTCCGAGTACGATGAAGACGGGGCCGAACGAGCCCTTGGAGTCCGAGGATGAAATCGGCGTCGACTGGGGAAGCGACGACATGTTTTCCCTGTGTTGTGTCCGGGGTGAAGAGGAGCAACCTGCCTGCTACGGAGAAAGGGGAGTCGAGTCTCGTGGGTGGCGATGGCTGTGAATGTGGCCAACTTATGGATGATGGAAAGCAGGTGGAAGGGGCTTTGTTTGTTCAAGAGCCATGATATTCTCGAACTCTTTTCTCCAGCTTTCCAGCTTTTGAATGCTCGGAAGGAGAGAAAGCTGGGGGAATATATGGGGAGGCTTTGGAGCTGGCCAGCAACCGTAGGGGATTTAAAGCTTTAAGAGTTTGAGATGTTGGATCAAAAGAAGGGGACGAGATCATTGTTCTGTCCCTTTTAGCAGACGACGGTGGGAGTGGGGGCTAAACCCCAGATTCCAGATGGCTTGTCGGACTAACAAATGCCAGCCTACAACCAACGATACGCTAGCTTATTACTAGTTACTTTAGGATTAAGCTTGACGGAGAAGCTGCTCGTACGAAAAAGAGTCGTATAACATCTTTTGAGGGAGGGGGGGACTCACGATCGCGGAGAGCATCATGTCTGCGTGCTCTTCTTTGACTGGGCCACGATCGACAGTTTTGGTTTTTGCTTTGAAGAACCCAACCTGCAAAAGAAAAGCTCAAGAAACACGGAGGAGGAGCAGAGCTGAGCTGCACCATGAAAGAACGAGCCAGCCCTGATCCCATCCTTCACGTCAGTTCAGTCGTGTAAACTCCTTGAAGAATTGACCCTTGGGATGTCTGGCAGGCATGGTGAAGGGTTACGCCAGCAAGCTGCAACATCAGCTAAAATGATATCAATACCGGGTTCTTCAAAGGAGACTAAAATGGAAGGGAACCGATCTAATAGATCGAATAGGTGATCGGCATTCAATGATTCATAACCACAAAACCTCTTCGAAAGCCAGTTCGATCGATTCATCTGAAAACTCAGCGAAGCCTCAACACCGAGGCTTCTCCTTTTCCTTGAACAGTGCCAACAGGGACACACCACAAACCTTCACCACCTTGAACCGTACTCCGGGGATGTCACCGTCTGCATGGCCTTTCCGTCCAAATCCAGCAATCAAGACCTCGTCCTGTGAAAACAATGCAAACGGAGGACATACTCGTGAGAAGCAGATGGTACTGACGAGCAAGGACATTAGAACTTGCGGGCACTCAGAAATATGCTCAGAGCGGATCCTGAGAGAGATGTCATGCAATGCTGAGAATGAACATTTACAACCTCAGCGATGTGTGCCTGGTTGGAACGCATACCGGTGTCGACTGGTGCATACAGGTGTGAGCAAGACCACCACAGTAATGTCTCCTAACATCAAATCTTTGATAACAAGTCCACTAGATCAGTCTTTGGAGACATCAATCGCACATGAAATTTCTAGGCAAACCAAACCCCAACTTACGTTTTCTTCTATGAAATTTAAGCAGCCATCATTTGGAACAAAGGCTGTAATTTTCTTCCCATTCTTTATCAGCTGAACTCTAGCACACTTTTGGATAGCAGAATTCGGCTGCTTAGCTTCTATGCCTCTGCGAGAGGAAATCAATCTAATGTCAGTCCCCCAAACATAAGCAACATCGAACAGTATTAAAAATCAGAAAGAATAACAAGTAACATCATTTGGCTTACATCTTCTCTAGGACAATAGGACAATACCATTGGCACGCGAAGAACCAGCAAAGGGTTTTTTTCCACTCATTGCCAAGATGACTTTTCTCGTATGCTTTATCTGCCCATCTTTGCCTCCTCCTGTGGGTTTTGAGCTTGCGCCCAGATCCCATACCACGAGTCTTCCTGTGATAGAACTTAAGAATGTTCAAAGATCATCATCTATCTTCACTCAAACAAATTCCCTTGCTGGTCACTTCATTTTTTGGGGTGACTTCAAATTCCACTTCTTATTATGCACATCGAAATCTAACATCAACCATTCAAAATTTTGCTAGAGCCGTGCATCATTTTCCTTTCAGTAGGCCACTATATGTGCTAACGAGAATCTCAATTAATTTTAATTATAGTCATAGACAAGCACATTTTCTCCTTGCCACAGAATAAGACTGAATGAACAACATCACTGTCCTTTGTTCTGAAGCAATCAACCAATGAGAAAAATAAGTTCAGGATCTCTTTCGTGTTAGGCGGTTCCAAGTAGACAAGTAGTAAAGTACCGACAAGAACCCATGAGGACCAAATAAAATTAAAAGTCTGCAGTCGATACAATCAAAAGAACCTAAACAAGGCAGTCATCATTCTACACGCTACTTACGGTATTGAAAATGTGAGTGGTATTATTGCCTTCCATGTGAACTTGTTCACAATGATACAAGTCAGGCAGGCAACAAAATACAACCTTAGCTACAACAGACTCAAGGTCCTTTTGTCACTCACTCACTCACTCATCATCATACACATGACGTGATAACTCCAGGATAGCGAGCAATATAAAGGAGTTACAAATTCCAACTCCGAATTCCTCAAAATTCTGATGTTTCTTCTACTCGGGCAAAGAAGATTTGTCATTTTAGTGCACGGGAAAAACCTAACTTTCAACAATATCATTGTTAGAACCGGTATTCATCGATCATAACTGCATCCAATTCTATTAAAATCACAAAAATCGGAATCCCAATCATCAAACTCGTTTCTTTTCTTCTCCGATTCTCCTAAAAACCTAAAGCAACTAAAGCACCATATCGAAGTAAGCAAAACATAATTCACCCCTCAAAAAAACAAGATTGGGAACCCAACCCAACGAACACAAAGAACATACAAGGGAAAAGGCAGGTGAATCAAGAAGGATCCGATCGAGTTCCCGGCAGAACACAATCCAAACACCAGACAAGCATTTCAAACGTTGCATTCCGAATTGATGAGGCAATCGAGAACAAAATTAGTATCGTTGCCGCGAAAACTCACCCCGTATCGTCGGACGCCGAAGCTCGCTTTCCTCTCCGGGAGATGCGGAGGATCCGAAAGCGCGGGTGCGGTGGAAGCCCCAGCCGCTCCATTTTATAAACGATCCAAGTAGGGTAGACTGGGCGTACCCATGGGCCACGCGAGAACCCATGGCCCGAACCAGAAATATCCGGCCTTGATTACATTAATATGTCCATTCGAATTAGACTCGATCTTCGTCTCGGTTCCCGCATGGTCAACGCTTATCAAGCCTAGTCCGGTTTGGCTCCGTGCGTGGCGTCAGTCATCTTCCACTAAATTGAATTAAGGTATAAAAATTTTCCACTCAGAAAAAATCTTTTTTTTTTTTTAAATACGAAAAATCATTTTGCTCATGACCTCCTGTCGGACCCGCCTCCACCTCACATCACCGCCTTGCGCGGCCCCTGTGCCATCCTGCACTGCCCCTCACGCGTTGAGACGGTGATACGTCCGACGAGGGCCAGGCGCTAGTAGCGGAACCCTGCGTGAGGGTTGCGGGTGAGGCGCGTAGGGGTGGGGCCAGTGGGGTCAACGGAGGTGACGACGGCCCTCCTGCGCGGGCTATCGGCGAAGGCGGGTCCGGCAGAAAAATAATAATAATAATAATAATAATAATAATAATTTTTCAAATTTGCTAAGAGCACTTGATGAGACTTGGTGAGTCGCCGCTCGTCTCCTTTCCAAGCGTGGGGCAGAGAGATAAAGAGTTAGGAGTTGAGGCTTGTGTGATGGTTGTTCTCGGAGCAAGATATCATTTATTAATGTTTCGTCAAATAACTATTGATTGACTTGTTCGAGAAATATTTGCTAATTTAAATTGCTTGTGTTGCAATTACATGAACAGCACGACGATCGGTAGCAAGTTTATCAGCCCTTTTGTGCGATAATTGGGTCGGCGCATCACTGCTGTGATGTACTTTCGCCCATCTAATTCGGTACACTTTTTTAAATTCATTTCATCAACAACACGTAAGAGTAACATCCAATTTGCTTCCATTCATCCATCAACACATCTATCCAGTGGCTTGGACGATTCGAGAAGCAAGACACGGATAGAAACTTCCAACGGTGGAACTAAATTTCAATGCGATTTCCATCCGTCGACACGCACGAATGTTTCTTGATCTCCGAAGAAGAAGAACCATGGTCTTCTAGTTCGTACTAGAGAGATTGAATTCTGCTTTGAAGTCCATGGTTTACCGGAGCTTTAGGCACCTCCGCCTGCAAAATCGTGTGGTAACTATCAGAAACCACTGTGAAATGCATAAAAAGAATGGCTGGCATCGGGTGGCACCACGCCATGGGAAGTTAGTATGTTAAAAGCACCACCAGTTGATGCAGCTCTAGGAAAATCGAGTTAATTAAAAAGCTTGTGTCAGTCATGATCTTTGGGTAGCCACCCATCCATATCTTATCGGATCTATGCAATTCTTATTGTTTTAGCATGTCGGTCCCGACGAATGGGTGGGGGGAATGGAGTTTAGAATGGCATACATGGAGATCAAGCATGGTTGGATCGAGGCAGAGAGAGGGAAGTTCTCGGCGTCATATGAAACAGGAGCCAGACAAGGATGAGGAGTTTGTACAGAGTAGAGTTGGGACGATGTCCTCGGTGTCATGCAAAGCGAGAACCCATGTTGGTTTTTCCGGTTGGCATTTTGCCCAGCTGATAGCAACCGTTCCGACTTGGTCTCGTGATGATGCTTGAACCGGGTAAGGTGGTCTCGGAACGAGGGAGAAGACAAGGCAGGCAGTGATCCGTCATCATGGATGAGGCACAACAGCGACTGTGATCTTGGTTTCCATACACGAAGATAATTAGGTCGAGAAAGAAGGATCAGTGGACTCTTTTCCGGTCTTCAAACAAGCCCGTGCACTCTTTAGCAGTGGAAAGTGGATGTACGGCTACCTCTGTTCCTCATCGGCGCCACCGTCCCGGCTGCCGGAAGACTTGTAATTTGGATACGGCACCCGACCCGACTCGATGTGCTCGAGGTCCTCAAGCAGCAGCTCGTAGTGTTTCTTGACCTCTTCGGCGGTCTTCCCTCCGCCGACGGCTCGTGCCACATTCTGCCAGCGATCCGGGGTGTCTTTGTCGTACACCGCGAGAGCCCGCTCGAAGAGCTTGTTCTGCTGCGGAGTCCACGAGGAGGTCGAGCCACGTGAGAGCGATCCCGACGCCATGTTGCCGAGAGGATGACTCGAGAATGGAACGAGGGGACTCCAGAATCGAATGGGAGATTGGAAAACGGGTGTGTGTGCGAGTGTGTGTATATATATAGTGTCAGCACTGTTTGCCGGAGGGCTGTTGTCGGCATGAGGAAACTGTTGCCAGGGTTATCTTTATAAGCAGCAGCTTGCTTGAGAACCACGAGATGGAGCTTAAGAGCGAGGGACAAGGAACAAGGAGGGGAGAGCTTTGCTGCGTGTGAGGTAGGGACATCATCATCGACAACACAAGGCTCAAGGAGGAGAGAGGAAAGGTCCCTCTCTCATCTTTTTTTTTTTTTTTTTGGTCTACCTATCTAAATGTAGACTTTCCAGCAATTTAAGCTCTATAAATTCCTTTGTGATCACTTAATTATTCATATTTCATGATCTGTTGTAGCATGCCCTGGAGCTCTTGAGAGTCTGCTTCCCCAAGACGTTATGATCGATGACTATTATTTTTGTTTGTCCTGTCCCGTAGATGGGTGGTTTTCATAATTCATAATTAAATTAATGTATATGGCAACTCAAAAGAGATCAGTTGCATTCAAGAAATAATGATTCTTATTATACCTTCCCGAGGAGGAGGAGGGTACGTCAGGGGCATGATTCCCTTTGCCATGTCTTTATATGATTCTACTAATCTTGATTACGTCGATGGATCCTGCACAACTTGCGTAAAAAAGCAGTAGCGTTGTCGCGACCTCATCCCGTTTCCTTTTTGCAGTCGTAAAAGATGTGGTTCGGGATCGAGATGATCGCGTAGCCTACCCCGTTTCTTCTATCTTCTCCTCTGTTTTATTATTATTATTATTTTTCGCTTTATGGAACGATTTGATAGTCTTCCCTTTACCGTGGGAAGTCCTTCCGCATGAATGGACGTAAGTGGACTCAACTCTCACTGACGAAAGCTGTCCTACGTCCTATTCTTCTTCCAAAGGAAGGATATCGACGTCCGAAGCGCTGCCTGCCCACCTCGGCTCAATTTTTGTGGTCACACCAACTTCACGATCCCAAATCCAGCTTTGGCTGCTCTCTTCTACTTTTAGATCAATGTTTTTGAAGGGGTTAGTGGTCTGATAACTCCCCTGAAAAACAAACTTACGATTTGTGGGGAGAGGGAAACATTTGCTGCGTGTTACACAGATCAACTGGGAAGTAAAGAAGGCTGTGCTACTGTAGATAGTAGCACTATCTACAGTGCTACAATCAGTATCATAGAATGCAGTGCATCGACATGCGATTGTTGGTCGATTCAAGAGATAAAAAACACTTGATCGAACAGTCGTAGACAAGTATAATACCATGAATGCACGAACAAAAAATGTGTCGGAAAATGGTCGCACACGCACTTCGACTGTCATTTCAAGAACTTAGTGAATGAATACTACCATGAATCACAGGAGCGATCATTTACGCGAGGCTCTTCAAACGATATGGATTATTAGGGTTGCTTGGTCAGCGGAGAGAGGAAAGATTTGGCCACGCTACGTATGTTCTCGGAGCAGCGGCGAGAATGAATTGCTTCCTATGTAATGACTGACAAAAGCATGTGTGAGATGACTGACAACGATGAAGACGAGAATGAATCACTTCCGCCTCTGAGATCTCAAAGTCCACAAACCCCAGCCGCCAAAGATACACCAACCATCGAGTAACCAAGTACTCGGATACAACAGAGAAATATCGATTCATTCACATGCTGGCTTAGTGTCAAAGGTGGTCAAGCAGATTGCGAATGCCTGAAACGCAGAGAGTGGATATCGATAATCCATAGTGAAGATGTCCTTTCCTATCTTACCGAATTGGAGGATAACCTTCTCTTGCTCTGCCAGAGACACCCCAAAGGAAGGATCTACGGCCGCCACAAGCTGAAAGTTCTTGACGGAAGCCACTGTGACTCGTCCCTTGAAGTCCAAGCACCAGCATTGGAGCTGCTCGTGCCACCTCGGGGATTTGTTCTTGAGAATCAGCGGGACCGAACCGGTGGGACCGTCGGAAGGAAAACCCCTTGCTGATTCCTCGTCTTTTGCGGCTGGTAAACTCGAGAGGGGTTGTTGCCGTTCGTCGACGGATTGGAGAAAGCTGGTGGGTGCCGCGACACCCCCCCGGCCTTCCCGGAGGGAGGAGGCTGGAATCGAGTGCATGGTGCATTGTATTCTTCTGGGCCCTCGGGTTCGAAGGACGTTAAATTCGTAGGAGACGGTAGCAACGTCGTAATTTCCAGCCGGAAGTCTCGGGGACACTTGCTTGGAAGGGGCCCTTGGATTTGACGGAATGCTCGAAGAAGAAACAGGGGCATCATGAGGACACTGGCTATCGTAAACCATGAACTTGGTCCCCAAGAAATTTGACCTGGTTAAGATCCAAAAGACGATGGATCAGAGAATCAACAAAGCAAAAGGAACACAGATAAGAGAGAGAGTCAACAAGCGGCTGAGATCACTTGCCTCACTCTTCCGATGTAGGCGTTACTAGCTCGAGAGAAATTATCGGAGGCCAGCGAGATGACAAAATCGGTGCTAGTTGCACGTCTGGTCTTGCGGGCTGCAAGCAAAAGCTTGTCCTTCTGGCTCTGCAGCGCTATCATCATCACGGAACGTAACCAGCGAGCGTCAGTAATGGAACAGATTGGCAGCACCGAATCCCAAGCGACAAAATAAAAATCTAATTCGTCTCATCGGCAGCTACCGATAGAAGGAACTAACAAAGAAATTGCTCCAGTCGTCAGTCAGTGACTGTAAAACCAGGGTTTGTATCGAATCACAGCATCGTTGCTGATGTCTATGGCTACGGAGAACAAATGATGCAACACCAATTATGCACTGGTGTTTGAAAACTAGGAATAGATTGGATCGGTGCAAGGAAGGTCTCTCAGGACATCAGCTTGGTTCAGACAATCATTAAAGCAAGCAAAGGAGCGATGCGAGGAAATTGCTTACATGGGGTCAGACCCAGGTACACACGGAAGGTGGATGTCGTTCTCTCCCTCCTCATGAAGCACTGAATCGGATGATCTCGTGGTCCGGGCTGATTTTGAACACACAACCCACAGATCGATTAAGAAGATGATCAGTAAGGAATAAAAAATTTGCAGAGGAACTGTTGCAAAACCAATTCGAGCTCCGAATCTAAAAGCGTCGAGGCAATCAGACAAGGCCAACCTGCTTGAGAGAAAGAGGAAAGGTGATCCGGCCACATTGCTCCGGTGACTTGACCACCTCTTTTGTGATGCCACGCCACCAGCGGCACACGGCCGCGCACGCCAGCACATGCCTCCTCGCCGGCCACGATACCTCGCTTGCCTCCACCCTGCGGATGACATCAAACAGCAGTTCCGGCGGCAGGTTCACCCATCTACCCTCCGGGGCACCTTCGCGACCGTGCCCCATCGTTATCGCTCCGCCGCCGCCTTCGCCTTCTCCTTCGCCTCCTCCCCCGATCCCATCCGGCATCTCCTTGAGCTCACGGACGAGACTCTTTAACGGCATTTCCACCACCCTCCCCTTCTTTCCAGATCCGGGAGTCGCGGGATTCGTATAAACAAGAGAAATTGAGCGGGCGAACCTCGGATCGATCAGATCGATGAGGAAAAGGGGAATTCTTGGCTTTTGAGTCTCACTTCTTCTGGCTATGCATCAGGGCGGACGACGGATATCCCCTTCGAGGCCTTTCCCCCTTGTAATTCGTGCCTCTTCCTTCCCTCGAAAGAAATTTGATATCTTCCGAAGCAAAATCCTTTAGTATTTTTTTTTTGTCATCCGATCAAGAAGCTAAGTTGGCTCATCGAAGGGGCAAAAGAACCTCTTTTTGCGTTGCGCTCACATCCCACGGAAACACAAAAAACAAAGGTGGCGCTCAGCTCCCACCTTTACCGTCTGTCACATGCACGGCATGTATCCGATCCACGATTGCAGCCGGTGTCGGTCGATGGACGTTGCCTCTTTCGAGCGCCCGAAGAGAGCAACCAACCAACCAACCATTTTCGAGTTGAGATGCAAAGCTAGTGATTTTGGCATTTATCACTTCCCTTGAATTCAAGATTTGGTTGGTTATCATCTAAATTAGAAACTTGCAAACACGCCCTGTAGTTAGTTAATCTTCGTTTATAATGACACCGTTTAGAAATATAAATGTTATGTTATTTTGCTAAAATAAAATCGAGGTAACTAATTAGTATGTATATACATACAACAATCAATCCATGGAAATGGAAACTTAGCGCGAATCTACAGATATCGGGCGTAAAGATGATGATGATGGAACATCCACCCGTTTTTCTCTTTTTTAATTTGTGCATAAAAAAATAATAATCCCTTCGAATACCAAACAAAATTGTATTCCAGCTGCTCCTATCATGGAAGGAATAGGGATAGATAGCTAGCTGATCAAGCTATTCGATGGATGTCAAGTCCCAACCATCATGATTCATTCATGTGGGGATAACACATGACGCATACAGGAGAGGCCCATCCCATGCCCTTTATCCTATTAAGATCAACCGGGGAAGAAGCCAGCCACATCCACCGGTTCAAAACAAAAAAGCCTGGCATCTCGCACCTCCTTTGTGGAGCCCACAACCATGTTCATGTTAACTAGTAGTTGGCCAATCCTTGGAGTTGGTCCCTGGTCTTTGTTGTGTCCTAAGAACAACATGAAGTTTCTCAGATTGAGACATTCAGCAAGCAAGGATCTGTGTGCGTCTTGCTAACCAAGTTTAGTTACATGACAATCAATTCCACCTTGAAAACCAAAAAGCAATGTAGGTTAACAAATACATCTTTATTTGAGTGTTGGCTGAAGAGATTTGTACAAAAAAAGGAAGAAAGCCAAAGCCAGAACAGCAAGGAGGCAACTAATGAACAAGGAGGTAACAACAGTACCAACCTATTAAAGTGGAAGAGAAAAAAAAAAAAGAAAAAAGTATTCACACACAAATAACTGTTCCTAGCAAATACAGTAGTAATTCCGAGCGATCGATAATGGCAATATCTGAATGCCCTCCTTAACCCACACCAGTGATCAATCCTTTGATATGTTGCTGCTACTTCCAGGACTCTTTTTAGCTCCATATCTCTGATTCACAACCGATGACACCAAATTTAATTGAAATTTTGACAGAAATAAGATGTTCACAAAAGAACATGAACATAGACAGAAACATGCATCTCAAATAACACAACTTCACAACATTTAAAGCCATAGCAGATTGCATAAAAGGGATGCATCCAAATGGCCCTCCGACAAAACACAAAAGTGTTTTTCACCCTACATCGGTAGCCAAATGTTTATTAGTACTTCCATGACATGGCACCAGATGTTTTAGAGCTGGGTGGCCTTTGTGTGTTTTGACACCCAATCATTCAAATTTCATAATGAAGTACCATCCAAACTACCAAAAGGATAGCCAAGTGATACAGCATGAAGTAATTATGGTACTCACCTTCTTCCCTATATTGAAAGGCACATACTTATACTTGATCATGTGTACAATTTGGCGCTTCATTGTCAGGAAGAAAAGAACAATCCAGTAGCACAGTAGTATTGGCCAAAAGACAGGAACATCAAACATGGAAAAGAAAGTCATCACAAATGCAACACAGAAAGCTTTCGTTATGGAATACCTGAAAAAAAAAAAACATGTAATATGAAGGAATTAGGTTCTCAAACTCGAGAAATCCTAGACAACTAAACAAACAAAAGAGAAGGAAAAATAGAAAATATCAACCAGTTCAGAATCACCAAGAGTTCAAGGTTAAATAATAATAATATCTAATTGACAGCAGCAACAACCGATCATTCTTTTGTCACTACCCTATGGTTGCATGTCGACACATGCATGCATCACCATTTTATCTTGCACACAAGCAAACTAGACAAAATAATCTAAAATTCCTTGCCAAAACAAATAACTAAGCATAGCTTCCCGTATGAGTAGCATTCACATTTTTGGCTTCAACATGCACGGGTTTGAAGAACTAAAAGCTAAATCAAGTAATTTCCAGACATTCCTCTTTATATTCATATATACTTTGTGTCAATATAAACAATGTTAAACATATAATATAATAAAGCAAAACATTTCTACCCCCACAACGTTCAGAAACTTTTGGTGGCAAAAGTACATACTCTGCTAAAGTAATCTAATAGTGCTCAACAAGCCAACGCTCCAACAGCAAGGATGAAGTTTCAATATTAGCACTGAACCTAGAGGTTAGAACCAGAGTAAATGAACCGAATCAAGTTGTTGGATCAGAAACAGTTGGGAGTTGGCTTAGGATCAGCAGGATTAGCCAAGATATGTTGGAAGCCTGAACACATAGAAATTGATTCAGACGCATTACTATTAGCTGGATTCAGAAGAACAAGTTGGGGCTGGGCAGAAATTCTTGCGATCGCATGTCAAACTACATTGCAATTAGTTAGAACCAGAGTAAATGAACCAAATCAAGTTGTTGGATCAGAAACAGTTGGAGTTGGCTTAGGACCAGCAGGATCAGCCAAGATATGTTGGAAGTCTGGATACATAGAAATCGATTGAGACCAATAACTATTAGCTGGATTCAGAAGAATAAGTTGGGGCTGGGTGGAAATTCTTGGGATCACATGTCAAACTACATTGCAATTAGTTAATCTTTGAAACCATGGGATAAACTATTAATACATTATTTAACTAATTTCAAAATTCTGTTATGCAAAAGAAAGCACGAACAAGAATCATGTGATTGTTAGACCCTGTGCTTCAGAAATACTAATCTAGAGTTACAATAAAATTCATTTTTCCACCCACAACAAGCACATTTAGCTTCCCTGGGAAATCATTTGACTACCATGACACGGAGCACATAAGCACCACAAATCATCGTGTCTTGTAACTTTGTGACTTTGTGGTGGCGCACTCTTGCAACAACTTCTCTTCAACAATTCTCCAAAGGAAAGTTTTTAATCTTATGCGATTCACATAAAAAATTTATATCTATGTCCGATACCAAATTCAGCAACCAGCCAGATTAGTATGAACAACATACTAACACGTGCCACCCAAGACCACTGCAAAGATTATAATATACACTTGTCCTTGGTCAGATTAGAAAATGCCTATTAGCACCTAAAGATTCACAAATCAAAGTAATCTTGGATTTGGTATATAGCTATGGTGGACGACAATAGCTACAATCAATCTGACCATGATAGGCATGATGGTTTCACTATTCCGTGAGCTTTTAGAAGATGCAATTGACAGTAATAGCATCTAATATATAATAGCAACAAAGAGCAAAATTAAAGCATATTCACCGTAAATTGGAAATGGAGTTGAGAGAAAATCATGAAACAGTAAAAACTATAGTGAAGGTTTCAAATGAATAGAGAGATGTAGTCAGTGGAGTAAAATAATCGAAGCGAAGACTAATTAATGACTACACATCAATGAGGAAGAAAAAGAAGGCTAGACTTTACCAGAACTTGAATTCGGGGAGACGGCGAACAAAGGGTTTGAATTCGTCGGAGCCCCTGGTAGGCAGGGCAGGCCCATCAGAAACTTCGAGCTCTGGATCCACGAGTGGCGACAAGAATCCAATCAAGATATTCAGAAGATAGATCCCTAAGCCGTAGCTGACGATATAAAAACCATGGACAAAATAAACACGCAGGACGTAGATCACCGCGACCACAGCGGTCCCGAGCCATCTTCCGGTCGTGTGAGGCGTCGATCTATCCAGGTAGTAACGGAAGGCTCTGGAGAAATCGCTTCTCCATTTCGACAGCGGATGCGAAGCAGCTGCGTCATCGCCCTCCATTCAAATAACTCCTCCCTATCTAGATATCAAGCAATCTGAGATTTCGTGGGTTTCTTTAGGTAGGATGTGCAATTGTAATTAGGTCGGCTAACAAGAAGATTGAGAGTGCAAAACCAAGAAAAAGAGATCAACCGGCAAAAGCGGCAGGAAATCACCTCCGAGATCAGGTTTTCCCTCTTTCCACTCGAGAGGTGAAGGCGATTCGAGACGAAGCAAGCGATCGTTCCGAAACAAACACTAAATTCCGGCTCCGACCAGGAAGGAACCCAAGCCAGAGTCGATCCACGGGAGAACCGGCGTTAGGGCTGCGCGGAGGAGGAGAAGGCGATTGGGATATCCGCAGTTACCCTCACCGATCAAACGGATGGAGGGCAAACGGGCAAGAAACATTGGGATTCTTCCGGGGGCTTTTACGGAGGAAGAAAGAAATCGGCCCAGTGGGCCGACATCGACGGATATGGATGCCGGCCTCATCTGGAACACACTAGAGAAGGTCGACTGTGTTCTCTCATCCGGCTTCCATTCAAATGACTCGAAAAGGGCGACTCTCCCATAAGAATCATAGCTGGAGTTAGTGTGCGCCAAAACTGTTCGCGGCATGGCTGCGGGCTTTGGAATCTCCGGTGGAAGAATCGGTGCTTGTGGAGATGATAAACGAGCCCGTCTCTTCATCGAAAACATGAGCGACAGTGACGTAGATATTTCCAGAATGAGAAGGAAGAAAGGATCTACCGGGCAGGTGAATTAGCTGCAAATTTCCTCTTGGCACCGATAGGTCGTCCTGAAACTTGCTCGCCTGGGTTGCAGTGTGCATGTTTGGTAGATGCGGGTGGCAACAGAACCATGCGGCCGTGTCTGTCGACTGCGGTTATGTTTCCGGTACGAAGGAGATGAATGGAGTCTTTGAAGATAGATGAGTTCATGAACGTACGATTGACTTGAATTGTAGCTCGGAGCGGAGCGTCTATCAGGCTGATGAACTGAACTGAAGACCGATCATTTTCCCGTCCTGGTTTGGAGCCAAGAGCAATGGCATAGCCCTTTTTGTTTCCTCTACTAATCTCATGATATATATATATATCTATATATGCACAGTGGTTGTTTCTGTCTGCAAGTTTCGAGGTTATCTTGTTTTTGACCTTTTGTTTTCTTGATCATGCGGACATGTCCGATCCCTCTGTGGATGGGAACTATCGACCGATGTGCAGTTGGTGCGAGACTAGAGGTCACCGTTGATGGACCTGCTGGAGTCCGGGAATATTTGGGTCCGGTCCATGGATGGGCTTAGACTATATAATAGGCCCATGAGCCCAATTCTAAACCGTTATTAAAAAAAAAAGGGAGAAGAGAAAAGAGAATTGGAGACGTGCGCAGCGGATAAAGAGATCGAGAGTGAGGAGAGGAAAGGCTAGGATTCTAAGGTTTTTACTAGACGATTAAATTTTATCGGTTCGACTTAAATTTTATACGAAGAATTTTTTAATAAGTTTTATAAATCTAATGGTGCCGATTTATGATTTGTCCTCACTGAAATTTTTTTTTGATATACCCATTTGGTGAGATGTAAATCTTCTTTCGATAAAATTCATCAATATATGTTATTATTGAGCTTGTGTTCTTGATATTATTATAATCCTCTAGTTATTCTAGAGAATACTTATTATAAACATATTATCATTATTATTGGTGATAGTAGAGGTTTGAAGTGGACTACAGTCCTATAATTTTTTTCGTATTGATTTTTCACGTAAAACTTAAGTGTCTTGATTGATTCATTATTCTACTGTTTATGCTATTCTGGTTAATATTTACTTTTGGTAACAAGTTATATTTTGGTGAGGAACCCATTTTGATACACAAAGAGGGAAAAGAATTATACCGCTATAATAGTTTTTCCTAACAAAATGATATGAAAGCATCAGGTTGTTTGATGTTAGTTTTTCTTATGTGATTGGAATTAAAGTGATATGATTAAATTGAACACATCAAATTATTCCATTTAGAGACGTATGATGGAAGATTTGCTCCATTGCAAAGATTTGTATGAGCTCATCAAAGTTAAAGAAAAATCTTCTACTATGAAAGATGAGGAATGAAAGGTTTAACATAGAAAAACTATTGCCTATATTAGAAGATAGATTGATGTAAATTTGTATGAGCATATTTCTGATGAAACCAGAGCCGATGTTGTTCAGCAAATGTTAAAAAATCTCTTTGTAAAAAAGACAATGTGAAATAGAATTTCTCTTCTCATAAGACTTTTTAGTTTAAAGTATAAAAATGATAGTAACATTATGGAGCACATAAGCTTACTTTAGAGTCTTGCAAATAAGTTGGTTGTTATGAAAATGAATATAGATGATGAGATGCAAGGATTGTTATTTCACAGCTCTTTACCGAAAAGTTGAAAAACATATGTGGTGATAATTTCTAACTCCACGCCAGGGGAGACTCTAACCATAGATATTGTTAAAGACTGTTTGCTAAAAGAATATACTAGAAGTAAATAACAAGGAGAATCTTCTTCTAGTGCACTTGTTATTGAAAAACAAAAAAGACATAGAAGAAGTTATGATAGAATTCCACGTGATTATAGAGGAAGATTCAAGCTTAGAAAAGATATCAAGTATTTTCACTACAATATGGCAGGTCACATAAAAAAAGAGTATATGTTTTGGAAGCGAGAACGGAATAAAAGGAAGAAAAATGAAAAATAGACCAATACAGTTGCTGCTAAAGGTGATATCATTATTATTTGTGATGACGGATGTGTCAATCTTGTAGCTCAGGATAGTAATTAGGTAATTGACTCTAGTGTTTCATTCCATGTTACTTCTCATGGTGATTTCTTCAGATTTTACATTGGTGGTGATTTTGGTAAAATGAAAACAGTACTAATATTGTGGGTATTAGAGGTATTTGCTTGAAGACCAATACTAAGAGTAAATTGATACTCAAATACGTTATACTGGTTCCAAATGTTGGTCTTATTTTGATATATACAGGCAAACTTGATGATGAGGGATTTATACATTATTTTGGTGAAAGCAAATGGAAAAAGTTCTCTAGTTGTGGTAAGAGGAAAGAATCTAAAATTTTTCTATGTAATGGAAGCTAAACTATACTAAGGAAAGATTAATACAATTCAAAAGGGTGAATAAAAGACTTAATCATATCAGTGAGAAAGGATTTTAAATTCTTGCTATAAAGTAGTTCTTATCGGATTTACAAGGTACATCTCTTAAATCTTGTAATCATTACTTACTTAGAAAAATACATAGAGTTACATTTCATACTTATCCGTTATCTAGAAAATCAAATGTTATTGATTTGGTTCACACTGATGTTTGTACTATGCAAACAACAACTCTTGGACGTGCTCTTTATTTTTGTTATTTTCATTGATTACTATTATAAAAAAAAATTAGGATTTTACTTTAAAATTCAAAAACCAGGTATTCGATTTGTTCAAAGAGTTTCATGTGAGTTTTGAAGATATAATTATGAAGAGTTTGAGTACAAATCATAGGATCTAAGAAGATTATTATAAGTAGAGATATATTTCTTGAAGACCAATTATTTAATAATATTGATAATGTAGAGAAGTCAAAAACCTCTGTTTATATCATTTGGAGTACGAGTCCAATTCCTCCACCTATAGTTCATGATGATCATGGGGGAGATGAACAAGAAGATTATGGTAAGAATGTCAGTGATGATATTTCTATAGTAGATAATGTTGAACCAATTGAACAAGAACCTCCACCACCAATTGAGATTCCATTGAAAAGATCTACAAAAGAACAATAATTATCTACAAGATATCTTCCACATGAGTATATTATGTTTACTAACAGGGGAGAGCCAAAAACTTATCAAAAAGTTATTCTATATTAGCACAAGAATAAGTAGGTTAAAGCCATGCAAGAAGAGATTATAAAATTACCTAAAGAGAAAAAAACTCTTAAGAATAAATGAATTTATAAATTGAAGACCGAAAATAATAGCTCATAATAAAAATACAAGGCATGACTAATTATAAAATGATTCAGTTATAAGAAATGTATTGACTTTACATAAATATTTTCTCCTATGGTGAAAATATCTTTTATCCGAGTTATTCTTAGTTTCGCTGCTTGCTTGAACTTAGAAATTGAGCAACTTGATGTGAAAATTATATTTCTTCATAGTGACTTAGAAAAAGAAAATTTATATGGAGTAACCAAAAGGTTTTAGAGTGAGAAAAGAAAATATAGTATGCAAGCTTAAAAAAGCTTATATGGATTCAAACAAGTACCCACAGGTATAAGAAATTTGATTTTTTTTATGATAAGCTAAGGGTACAATAGAACTACATCTGATCATTGTATGTTTAGAAAGAAGTTTTCAGATGATGATGTTATTATTCTCCTGCTATATGTTAATGATATGTTGATTGTTAGTCATGATACTAGTAAAATTGATAATTTTAAAAGAGAGTTAAGTAAGTCGTTTGTCATAAAAGACTTAGGATCGGAAAAAATAAATACCTGAAATGAAGATTCTTCGTGATAGGAAGAATGAGAAGATTTGGCTATCTCAGGAGACCTATATTGAAAAGGTTTTTGAAAGATTTAATATGAGTAAAGCCAAAGTAGTTTGTTCTCCACTTATAGGTTACTTCAAGCTTAGTTTGAAATAATATCCTACACATGAGAAAGAAAAAGAAGAATTGCCTATAGTGCCTTACTCATCTGTGGTAAACAGTTTGATGTATACTATGGTTTGTACTAGGCTAGATATAGCTCATGTAATTGGAGTTGTCAGTTGATTTCTCTCTGATCCTGGTAAACAACATTGGACAGTAGTGAAATATATATTAAGATATCTAAAAGGTAGTTGTGGTTCTTAATGACATTTGCAGTGGGAGCAATTTATTGGCAATCAAAGTTATAGAATTGTATTGCTCTATAAACCACAAAAGGAGAAAAAATAATAACTATTAAAGCATGCAAGGAAACTTTGTAGACGAAAAAGTTTTTATAGGAATTATGGTTGAAATAGGAGAAATATACCATTTACTATAACAGTCAGAGTGTCATTCACCTCTCCAAAAATTCAATATACCATTCTAGATCCAAATATATTGAAGTAAGATATTACTGGAGTCGTGATGTCCTTGATATGAAAGAATTGCACTTAGAAAAAGTGCATATCAATGAGAATGTATAAGATATGTTTATGAAGTCTTTGCCTAAGGAGAAACTTGAAACATATAGTCGAGGAGCGGGCTTAATACAATCCACTATATGAGCTGGGGTGAGAGAATTGTTGGGTCCAACCTATAGGTTGGATTAGAATAGACAATGGAGTCATTGAGCCCAAATCTAATCAGTTATTTAAAAAAAAAAGAAAAAAAGAAGTGGATACTTGGATAGTGAGGTGTGTGAACAGTGAAAAAGAGTGGTGC